GCTGCTGGTTAAGCTGTGCTCGGTCCCCTGAAAGGCCTTACGTAGACGGGGGTGAACAAAATACTTCCAAGTAAGCAAAAAGCAATAAGAAGTTACTAAAGCGTTGTTAAAACCCATACAGGTGGCTGTTTCATAATGCTAAGTGAGAAAAATTAAATGCTTTTCATTTCAAAGGTGCCAAAGGTTATGTAGTAAGGCTATATAGCAAGTCAGTGGTGAAGCTATGAACGAAATTCAAGAGACCAGACATAGATTGCCTTTCTGTGCGTAGCTCAATTACGTAACATGCAATTCAAACTTAAATGCATGTATTAAATATCCAATATGTGAATGGCATCTGCTCTACAGTCAAAAAACTCACTGCAATCTCTTTGTTACAAGTTGGTAAAGCAAACAGGAGTGAAGAGAATCCGAGCTCCCAACATCTGAGGCCGTGGTGACAAAATAGCTAGAGACCTGCCAGGAGACAAGCTCTTACCCCTAGGTTTTGCGAATGATCTATCAAATACCTATTTATGCATTTCCAGCAGTAGGTATCAATGAGTGGACTGAAACGTCTTCATAGAGCTACTTGCAGGACGGTGTTTCGATCCCAGCTTTATCGTTCTTGGACATGGAGCACTTGTAAGCCAGTTTATAAATCTCTTCCTTAAGCAACTTATTTTTAAGGGTGTTTTGGGGAGTGGAGCATCTGGCTTGCCTTTTAGACCGTTTTGATTCTGTCTGTTCTAACACTCAGATCGCTTCAGGCATGGACATTTTTTTGTTGGTGCTTTCTACGTCCGAAACTTCCAGTTACGCGTTTCTCATTTACTAGAAAATGTTGAAGCTATGACACACTGGAAGGCGGTAGTCATGAACAGTGCTGTTAATAGATCTCCTGAAAAGGTTGTGTGGTACAGCTCAGGAGTGTTGTGTGCCATCTGAACAACTAAACTTTCAATTACTAAAAATTTTTGCTACCGGTGATGCTGTCGATGGTAGATCCAAGTTCTTGCCCAGGTCTATGTAACAACTAGGTACAAAAGATTGCTTCAGGATGAATTTTTTCCTTGCATTCAAGTTCCTTCTCTGCGTTACGGCTTAGCAGATCAGTGCTGTGCCTACCCAGAGATGCCTTCTTACCACCATCTTCCCCTGCTCTGGGACTGCAGGCATACATTTTGAGGGTCACTTCAAAGTTTGTTTGCTCATACCAGCTTTCAACTGAGTCAGGAAAAATTGCATCATCGGTACTACCAGCTTAATGATGGCACAAGCATTAGGCTTGTGGCAACCGTATAGTCAATGAGCCCTATGACTTGAAGTGCGACGAAGGTAAGTTAGGAAAATGGGCGTGCCATTTTCATTTGGCAGCCGCAAGTAGGATAAGTCTTGTAGAAGGAATACTTTTCCTTTTGAATGATATTTTGTCTTTTGACCCTTGTTTTCTGCCTTTGTTGTGCTTTTTCTCCAGCTGGGATGACAGCAGCTCTGTCAGCAGTGGGATCAGTGACACCATAGATAATCTCAGTACTGATGACATTAACACTAGCTCCTCTATCAGCTCCTATGCCAATACACCTGCCTCCTCCCACAAAAACTTAGATGCACAGGTAAGATTTCTGATTTAGACAAGTAACATTGATACTTATTATTTTCTCTGTGCAATAAGTATAATTGTTTCAAGTTGGATGAACTTGAACACACAGCCAGCCTTCACTACGGATGATATCACTGAAAAGGCAACGTCAAGCAATAATAACCACCTTATCATATGTGGCATTTACAAATATTTCCTCTATGCGTGGAATCCGTGGCATCTCTGCTGCGGTGGTGTGGCAACAAATGGGTTCTGCCTTCCTAGTGGCACTGCTGTGCGGGGAAACATGCATCAGCAGATGGGATTTTTTTTTTTTTTTTTTTATTAGCTCTAGAAAAGGTTTTTTGGGTTTTTTTAAATAGAATTTAATTAAATCAACATGAAGTTTTAAAGATTATTTACATTTTCATCAGAATTGTAAGCGTGCTAGGGAAAGGAAATCGATTATTTTAAACTTCTAGGGATGCGTGTTACTATGTTTGGCAGGATTTCATAGGAGGATAAATTCTATGTCTATCGGCAGTCTACGTATACCTTTTCTGCTCGGACACCACACATCTAAATAGGGTAAAACAAGTGAAGGTCTCCAACAGTTTTTCATTCATCAGTTAGACTGCGTAATACAGAGACTTGCAGTAATATAAAAACTTTTTTTTTCCCCAAATGTATGGAATTTTACTAGGAAGGGGGGGACTAAGAACCCCAGCTTGCTTCTCTGTACAACCACCAGCTCGAGGGACTCAAGTGTTGTGTGTCAAATCAACAGGGATGCAGTCACTTGGCATTGCAGCAGGTAGAAGAGAGGGATGTAGGTATGACCTTCTCCTCTGTTTCTTTCCTCTTTTATTCTTCTCCAGTCCTTTTCATGACTGGACCCTAAATGTGGTTTTAATATCAGTTTCAATGTAGACATGTGGTTGCTGTGAAGTGTTACTCTGCCTACAGGGCTGTGGTGCAAGTATATATTACTCTTTGTTCCCTTGCCACGAAGTGCATATTTGAGCCTACATTAAAGATTTCCAGTTAGCCTCTGGTTGTGTATCGGCGATTGCATGTGTGCTCGAAACTGCTAATACAAGTCCCATACAAGTTGAGAGGAGTTAAGATCTATGAAATGTGTTTTTCAGTATGTAACAGAGAGAGTAACTTAGACAACAAGAAGTCCTTTTTTGACAATTGTTACTGTCTCAACGTTGTAATACTGTTGGGGAAAAAAGGAAGAAAAAGGGAGATGTGACGAAACGTTAACCTAAGGAAAAAAAATAGAAACTCATTTGACTTCCATCTTCCGATGGATCAGATTCTTGGAAACACCTCTGAGAGATCAAAATCTGTGTTGATGAACTCCTCTTCCTCCTCCACAACTCTTGCAGCATCCAAGAGAGTGCAGACATGCACCAGAAGAAAAGCAGCTGAAGCTTGTACAGACAGCAGAGCATAGTCGTTGGAAGAGGAAGCTGGGAGCTAAGACGTACAATCCCTGTTTGCAGTTTTTTTGATTTGTGCCTCTGATCTGCTTCTCTCACTAGTTTTCATGGCTGACAGTATTTATTCTAGGTATTACTGTTAGCTGCAAATTACTATCCATAAAATATTTTGTTTTCATTTGAACAGAATATCCTAATCTTGTCAACCAAGGGAATGAAAATGGCTTGGCGTGATGGAACCATACATAGCTTGCAGGGTTCATTTTTTTGCTGCCCAGGGTGGTCCTCACAGCTCATGAAGCAGCGAATGCTACACACACGCCTTTTCTGTCTTACCTGGAGTAGCGTATGATGGCCTGTGTCCTGGTTTGTGTTCCCCTTCGTGGTGAGCCACCAAGGGCCTGGCAGGCATCTGCACAGGGATGTGGACTTTTCTTCTCAGCATATCCGCTGCTTTGGTTCTCCTAAATAGTAGGCACTTAATTTTTAAGCTGCTGTGATTCTGCCACATCTTTTTGAGCTGGTACAGAAGTTGGATTTCAGATAATTAAAGAGGGAGCTTGAAGTTAATACACGTGCAACTGGGAGTCCAGACAAATAATACAGCAGCGTCGAAGGGAGAGAGCCCTAACATGTCCGTGTCTGCTGATAAAATCAGTAACTTGCTCAGAATCATCTCTGCAAAGGAAAAAGAGGTGGTTGCAGTAGAAAAACAGTCTGTGCTACAAAACGGATTTTTCAGAGCTGCCGAATACCCCATAGTTCAGCAGCTGTAGTTTTTCCATCTTTGAGAAGCAGGACTTAAATACGATATGAACTTCATCTTCCTAGACACTCATAGTTGTAGTCCCCTTTTGTAAAATGCTACGAAGACGTTCTCTAGTCGGTTCTAAACAAGCTAGTGACTGGAACCAGCGTTTGCCGTACCGTGTTCCTGTGTCTGTCTCTGATTGTGCCAAGTACCAAACCGCTTAAAGTGGCTATACCACTTTTGGGGCCCTAATGTTCTTCCCTTATATTGCACAGACGTAGGTAAGTTAACCTTTTAACGCAGCGCTGCCTCTAGTATGGTTTTAAAGTCATCATGCACTTATTTTAATGAGAAATTAAGACCTGCTGGGCATTTGAAAATAACTTCCTTAACTGAAATAAGATGGAAGAGAGGAAGAGATCAAGTAATAAACTTGCTCATGTAACGCTGAAAAGATCAGAAGACAGAAAGGAAACGCTACCTTTACATAGAAAACGGCAGCATCTTTAAGCTGTCGGATCAAGACAACTTCTCAGTTTAATTGGAGCAAAGGTGGGTTTGGTCTGTTCACTGCTTCATTAATAGATTTACAAAACTGTAGGGGTAAGTTGAGAAATCCCGGCGGTTGCCCTTACCCCCGGCTCAGTCAGATGGCAGGCTTTGCCCCCAGCTCGTGCTCGCTACATCTTGCCGTGACCTCCAGCAAACAGTATTTCCACTTTCACCCACTCCAGGCTCTTCAGGCGGGTGGAGTTCCAGCTGCAATGCTGAAGCCAGGTTTTACCGTGTTTTGGTTTTGCTTCCTTAGTCATGTTTCTGTGCGGTTCCCAGTGTTTACCATTAAACAGAAACACCTCTGGCCGGAGGGCTTCAAGGGTAGATGTGCAGCCTTTCAAAGGCGTTGGGAAGAGTTGGGCCGTGGGCGTAGGAGTGGGATGACATGGAAGAGAGCAAAGACAGAGGGGACTTCTTGTAATGCCGCTCTCCGTGTTGAGGCTCTGTACTACTCGTACAGCTGTAAAGGGGGAAAATAGAACATACAGGAACATTTCATAGTCGGCCAAAACTCAAATAAGCCCTTTACCAGCAAGTAGGTACATTTCTTGCTCTCGAACGCTAACGGTGTAAATAAGCAATTCCAGACAAGGTACTTGAAGCAAGATACTAATGAGAAGACATGAGGGATGATGTCGAGGTGGTTTTGTTGGTCGATTATTTATTACTTCTTGCCTGCACTCTCTTCCGAGATCTGTAAACTTGGGAGATGTTTGCATGAAGTCATGACTTTAGAGAAACACGGGACACAGAAGCAGTCACACTGTGAATTTATTGCGCACCTACCGATGGTCATAGACGGAAAGATAACCACCCCCAAACCTTGCAGCCTTACCAAAGAAGGAATTTAGAAAGCAGTGTTTCATTCAAGCCTAAGCTGAGTTGCTCTCTTTGAATGGGGAGGCAGAGAAATTACATTTGCATAGCATGAGGGAAATACAACAAGAAAATAATATCTCAATCCATAATTCAGCAAGTGCTTGTTAGTCTGATGGCTCAATATACAGACAAGTAACCCAGGCTCTATTTCACGTGACTGAAGACCATTACGATGTATGGTGTCAGCTTTCACATCCTGATCTCTTAGACTAGTTTTTCAGGCTTTTAAAAAAAAGTAATTACAGTAAAAAGCAGAGGAAATTAAACCACACACCCCCTAGATTCTTTAATATTAATGGTGTGATCTGGTAAGAAAAGAAAAGAGAAGTCATAAACTTGAAACATATTTTAGGAACTTAAGAATAAAATGTAGCATTTTGCCAAAAGCACGGTAAATGATCGTGCCTCCTTTCCTTTCCTGTGCAGTCCTTTTCTGATTACCCAAAGGGACTAAAGGATTGTGGGCTTTATATAATGCTTCGGGGTATTCAGAATAATTTCCTTTTAAGTGATACTACCTTTCGACTACTGCACAGTGCTGAGCACATTCATCTTCTGCTGAGGCTGCAGGGAGGAGATGGCACTCAACATCTTACCAAAACTTGCCATCTCTTATTTGGGAGTTTCATGATGGAGTGTTGAATTGGCAGAATCTTTCGTGGTACGGTGATGGTTAGAGAACACTTCAAGTATGAATTTTTTACCTGGATCAGGGTCAAATGTGGACTTCTGTAATTTCTGCCTGAAAAATATGTTATTGCTGGGGTTCATTTCTTGCTGTGACATTTCTTCATCAAAGGCATGTTATATTTTTTGGTACTTAGACATGACTGCTGAGTTTATTAATCAGTTTGACGGTTCTTATTTATGAAGCTTCTTAAAAGAAAGGCTTGCTCTGAAGGTTGTATTACAATTCCTTATCTGTCCTAGACTGATGCAGAAAAGCATTCCCAGGTTGAGCGGAATTCCTTGTGGTCCGGTGATGAAGTCAAAAAAAATAGCTGGTTGTGGTGTTACAAAATTTCCCCAAATTAATCAGCAGCATTTGATGGGAGAAGTAGAATTCTGCAAGAGCAATCATTAGCAATAGGAAATGCTAATGTGTGGGGAATATATTGCATATGTAGGGCAATAGACTTAATTTAAGCGTTTCTGAGAATTTGGTAAAGACTTGGTAACAAGAAAATTCTTTTTGACGTTGATCTTTGCAAAATTCTCCATAAAAGACTGGCAGCACAATCAGTCTGTGCAAAGAATAAGGAAAAACTATTTGTTAGAGCTGAATATAAATTAAAAAACGATGTCATTTGTATATTTAAGTCAGACTTGAGTATTGTTAGAAAGTCGTTGGGGATTCATTTTTCTTCAGTTCTTGGGTGTCCTCCTAATATGTTAGATTAGAATGAACAGCATTCCACATCTTCAAATCTGTTCAAAAAGCTGCCTCCTCATTCTCTGGAGATCAGATTGCCAGACAAGAGATAGGAAAGCAGCAAGAACAAAGGAAAGCTGGCTGCACAGGTTTGAAATGGTTTTTTGGCATCGCAGTAAAAGGGTTCTTCAGAAATTCGAGATGGAGGATTATAAATGTCATAGAGTTGAATATGTCCTTTATAAATCAAGTGCTTTTGTTTCCTTTTTTTTTTCTTTCTTCATTCTAAGGGGCATGATTGTTATGGTTTTTGTATTTTTTTCCCTAGCGTATTAAAAAAAAATATGTTATTGCTGGGGTTCATTTCTTGCTGTGACATTTCTTCATCAAAGGCATGTTATGTTTGTTGGTACTTAGACATGACTGCTGAGTTTATTAATCAGTTTGACGGTTCTTATTTATGAAGCTTCTTAAAAGAAAGGCTTGCTCTGAAGGTTGTATTACAATTCCTTATCTGTCCTAGACTGATGCAGAAAAGCATTCCCAGGTTGAGCGGAATTCCTTGTGGTCCGGTGATGAAGTCAAGAAATCAGACGGAGGATCCGATAGCGGCATAAAAATGGAGCCGGGATCTAAATGGAGGCGGAATCCCTCTGATGTGTCGGATGAATCTGATAAAAGCACTTCTGGTAGGAAGAACACTGTTATTTCGCAGACGGGCTCCTGGCGACGGGGCATGTCAGCTCAGGTTGGCATTACCACACCAAGGACTAAACCTTCAACCACCTCAGGCACATTAAAGACACCTGGAACAGGTGAGAAAAGGTGTAAGATATAAACAAGCCAAAAAGTGCGTTCGGTATAAAAACAGTTTAAATACTTTCCAGAGGCAGAACCTGAATTTCAGGTACTCCTGTCTTTATTTTTAGGTATTGTTTTAACCTGTGCAGCATCTCGTGTGTCCACATTTCTGTTTCTCTTCACTTGAAAATGCGTATTTTGGATTAGTACACTGTGAAAGTTGTTTTCATGACAACTGTAGTCTTAAGCTGAGCTATTTATTGGACACAGGATTGCCATATGAAGAAGAATGTAATTTTGAAGTCACGGTTAACTTTTAAGAGCATACAGTATGTGTGGTTGAGATGATTTTTTTTTTTTCCCCATATTAAACCAGGATGTTAATTTATACTAAACACTATTTAGTTCTGGATTTTCTCATAAATGTATTAGTGATTTTAGCACTTGCAGATGTGTGAATGAAAATTGATTGAATTTGCATGATCAAGTAACATAAGTTAATACCTTTCTTCTTATTTGATCGTGTACACGATTGTACATGAAAAAGCGGAAGTTAGACACTTGCTTGAACAATGCCTTTTAGGAAAATTATACTAACAGCCTAACCCTACTTCATTCTAATGATGAAAAAGGATCAATCTGTGGCAGCTACCGAGGGAAACTTTTTTTTTTTTCTTATCTGTCACTATTACATAAGACTGTTCTGCTTTTCATATTCTCGAGGGCAAACACACCACATACTTTCTCTGGCAAGTCTGCATGTATAACTCACTAGAGTGGCATGTAAGTTCAGTGCAGACTAGATCATAATTTTTAACCACACTCTGGTGGCTAACACGCTTTTGCTTTTCATGCTGCTTTGAGTTTCATCATTTGCTTGATGTTTCCAAGTCATTAAATATTAGAAT